GCAGGGTTGAAAGTACAAGGTATGTATGGCTTCGCTGGCACTTGGACTTTGCAGCTTACTGTCATATATTGGGCCTCGTTGGAAACTTGGTTTGCAAACGAAAAAAGTTATAGAGAAAATACAAAGTATGCCATTCATTATGCGCCACCCGTTATGACCTTACAAGATTATATTTCAAGATTCTTCGCCCTGAGAAATTCAGATTTTCAGATTTTTAATAGGTGGTGACGTCTCAGAAAAACTTTCGAGCTCTACAACAGAGATATTTACGATTTCTGAGAGTTCAATGCACACAAATAAGCTTCAGCTATTTGATTCGTAAATTTCTAATGAGAAAAATAATATTAAGTTTATTTTGCTTTTAGACAGCAATCGGTCCTATTCTCGAATGTCCAGTGAAAACTTATTAAAACGAAAAAGTAATTATTCTTTCAAATTACAGTCTCTTGATCTCGTAACTATGGTGGAATATTAGAACTTATATTTTATAATTGTTTCGATCATATGTAACTGAAAAAAATATACACTTTCACTAGACTCACTATAATATGATCTTAACAATTACTTAGACTTTCTACGAGATCTATTTTGATGGGCTCTCGAAACGAATAGCTATACAATAGCAATGACTATTTGTTCAAGACTACAGGTAAAACAAGACATATACGGTTGCATTATTTTTACTATAGTTTTTTCTTAAATTTGTAGAATCCATTAGTGGCCCCACTTGTCGCATGTCAACGATTTGATAGGAAATTGAATAGAACACCACAAGAAATAGAAAAAGAACAGTAAACTACTTTCAACAGTTGTATTTCTTGCTATTTTTATCACTATTTACTTTTAGACTCTTTAACGAATATGCAGTAAATCTGATAGATGAATGTTTCAACAGTGATCCAAAACGAGCTATCCGATTGTTAACAAAACCGTCACAAATGCTTTTTCATCAAAATCCCTTACAGTTAGCGAAATATATAAGATTCAAAAAGTTTATTGCAACTAAATGTGTTCAAACCTACTATAATCAAATATGGTATGGCCCACTTGAAACAGATGAAATACAACATCATATTGATTTATTGGCATGTATGTTTGTGTGCTTTTTATAAAATTCTTATAATTGCTTATATTATAGATATTGATTGTCTGTTTGTGTCCTATTCTTCTTTTATTTCCATTTCTAAATAAAAAGTTTTCAACAAAACTTAACACTGTAATAAAGAATTCATATTTTATTTATTTAATATTTATTAAATTCTTTCATAGGTTACTAATGACAGTGGAACAACTAAAAATTTGTAAGTTTTTACCAGTAGTAAGAAAGTTAATTAATCTTCTTTGTTGGCTTTAGAGAATCACAGTCACCATGGTTTAAGAACTTGGTGGAAGTGAAACCAATTGAATTTCAAGGCATTCTTCATAAGATTTCAATGCATTCTTATAATCACCTTGGTCGTCATACACTGCTGCCATCTTATTATATGTTCTTGCAATATCAGGGTGATTTGGCGGAAGTCAAATCAACTGAATTTCAAGGTCTTTCTCATGAGATCTCAACGCATTCTTATAATCAGCTTGATGGTCATAAACTGATCCCATGGCACTAAATGTTGTTGCAATAGATGGGTGATTTCGTGGAAATGAAATCATTTGAATTCTAAAGAGATTTTCGTAAGATTTCAATGCTTTCTTATAAACATGTTGATGGTCAGAAACCAGTACAATCTTATTATATGTTCTTGCAATTTAGGGGTGATTTGGTGGAAGTGACATCAACTGAATTTCAAGACACTTCTCATGAGATTTCAATGCTTTCTCATAATCACCTTAATGGTGATAAACTGATTCCATGGTACTATATGTTCCTGCAATTTAGGGGTGATTTCGTGAAAGTGGAATCAATTGAATTTCAACACATTTTTCATAAGATTTCATTGCTTTCTCATAATCACCTTGATGGTGATAAACTGATTCCATGGTACTATACGTATTTGCAATTTCATGATGAATCGGTGGAAGCGAATTCCATTGAATTTCAAGACATTTTTCATCAGATTTCAACGCTTTCTCATAATCACATTGATTGTAATAAACCAGCCCGATTTTATCCCTTGCTGTTGCAATATTAGCGTGATTTGGTGGAAGTCAAATCAGTTGAATTTTAAGAGAATTTTCGTAACATTTCAACGCTTTCTCCTGATCACCTTGATGGTCACAAACTAGTGCAATGTTATTATATAGCGTTGCAATATCAGGGTGATTTGGTGGAAGTGTAATCACTTGAAATCAATTGAATTCAAGGCACTTCTAATGAGATCTCAATGCATTCTTATAATCAGCTTGATGGTCGTAAACTCATCCCATGGCACTAAATGTTGTTGCAATAGATGGGTGATTTCGTGGAAATGAAATCAATTGAATTTCAAGAGATTTTCATAAGGTTTCAATGCTTTCTTATGATCATCTTGATGGTCATAAACTGGTCGAAGACATCATATGTACTTGCAATTTAGGGTTGATTTGGCGGAAGCGACATCAACTGAATTTCAACACATTTTTCATAAGATTTCAATGCTTTCTCATAATCTTATTCATGGTCATAAACTGATCCCATGGTACTACATGTTGCTGCAATTCAGCGGTGATTTGGTGGTAGTGAAATCAACTGAATTCCAAGAGTTTTTTCATAAGATTTCAACGCTCTCTCATAATCACCTTGACGGTCACAAGCCAGTGCGATGTTACTATATACTGTTGCTATATCAGGGTAATTTGCTGGAAGTGAAATCAACTGAAGTTAAGGAGATACCCACAAGCTTTCGATATTTTCATATAATCACCGTGATGGTCATAAATTGCTCAGATGTCAGTATACCTTCTGAGGCTGATTTCGCGCAGGTGAAATCATTTGAATTTCAAGAGATTTTTGATATGATTTCAACGCTTTCTCATAATCACCTTGATGGTCATGAACTGCTCCATCGTTATTATATGTTCTTGCAATTTAAGGGTAGTTTGGTGGAAGTGAAATCAATTCAATCTCAAGAGATTCTTCATAAGATTTCAAAGTTTTGTCATAATCACCTTGATCATCATAAACCAGTGTGATGTTATCACATAGTGCTGCAATTGCAGTGTGATTTGGTGGAAGTGAAATCAATCGAATTTGAAGAGATTTTTCATAAGATTTCAACGCTTTCTCCTAGTCACCTTGATAGTCATGACCTGCTCCAATGTTATTATATGTTCTTGCAGTTTTACGCTGATTTGGTGGAAGTGAAGACAATTGAATTTCAAGAGATTTTTCAGAAGATTTCAACGCTTTCTTATAATCACCTTGATCTTCATTAAGTGCTGTAATATTTTTATAGGTTCTTGGAATTTTAGGCTGAATTGGTGCAAGTGAAAGCACCTGAATTTCAAGAGATTTCTCAGAAGATTTGAAGGCTTTCAAATAATCACCTTGATGCTCACAAGCCAGTGCGATGTTATTATATAGTGTTGCAATATCAGGGTGATTTGGTGGAAGTAAAATCAATGGAATTTCAAGACATTTTTCATAAGACTTCAATGCTTCCTCATAATCACCTTGATCGTCATAAACAATGATTTCAAATCGATTATTCTGTCCGAGTACTATTTCAAATGTCTTTGTTGGTTACCGGTGTTTCTTCTTATCTGAATGAAAGAATATCTTATGTGATGTACAGCTCATCATCAATCGTTTCGTTTGGTCCACCACAAAGTAGCAGATCAAGAAACGATATGCTGAGCTTTCATGTTAATGCAGATTTTGTTAAGTGCAAACAGAATGCTTATATGTATATCAGCCATTATAAATTAACAGTTAAACCATTCTTAGCTATCCCAAGAGTGTAATATACTCTGAATGTCATTTGCACGGTCCGTAAACTATCCATATATTGAGTGATTCTAAATGAGCCGGTCTCCGCTAAAATAACGGTATAATAGCGATATATTATGACACGAGGACTCCATCAGATTCAATCATACAATAAACTAACGCTTCATGTCCACAAAAACAGATATATTTTGAATATATAAGATGTGTGAACAGCTGAGTTCGAACAAACGAATTATATTTATAGTAATCTGTTTGTACATAATGCAATATTGTCTACGAAAATGATTATAGTTTGATTTACTGTTACTTTTTAGCACATTGCAATAATCTCACTATGATCGCCCACTTGATATTATATGTCAGAAAACAAATATTTTTAATATTAAAATAAGAGCGAAAAAGCATTACTTGAATCGAAATATTGTCGATTGTTAGAAAAGAGAAGGGGCTATGTTTACGTTTGTGCTTTTAGATTTTAAGAAATGAAGAAAAGTGAATTCTTTTCTGTTTTATTTATTTGTCTGATATCATCGTATTCGATTTTTGGAAATAACGTTGTTGAAAATGATATCGAGGCACAGCCTCAACCACGTGCATTCAATACTATTATGGGTATTTTGGGCCTAATTGTGGGTGTTGTTGGCCTTGGATATGCAGTACCGAACAATGGCGTTCAGCTTTCGTTTGCAAACCAAGTTTCCAACGAGGCCCAATATATGACAGTAAGCTGCAAAGTCCAAGTGCCAGCGAAGCCATACATACCTTGTACTTTCAACCCTGCCTTCCAAAATTGTGTTGGAGGTCAATCTGCAAGTCCTGCTCGGGCCGTAGATGTGCCTTCTTATAGAGCGTATCGTTATCAGGTGTATGCTCTAACATTCACTGAAAACACTAACAGCTACTACTGCACTGTTTCTGCGACAGTCAACGGAAAACCAAAAACGAAAACGTTTTATGGATTTAGTGGTGGAAGTCAAAAAGGTAATTATGCATGGACGGTGAGTGACCATGGCATCCTTCTCCGCGGACAGATGCAATTTCCCTGGTAAATATTGAATTTGCACAAACAAATTAACTCGTTATTCGAACACATTTTTAATTTCTGAATTTGCTTTAATTTGACGTATTATCAAAATTTCTCTTGGTCTCCTCTCTTCTGGTTCTCCATACAAAAACGTCTTTTCCTGCAGTGAATGTAGGTGAAATCCTCTCCCCTGCAGGGAGTGCAGGCAGGAAAACATTCTTCTTTATCTGCCGGTCGTTAGTGGAAAGTTTTTTCATTCATCTGCAAACTTCAACTTGCCTGCACTGCCTGCAGCTTGTAAGCAGTTTACAATGGTGATCAGCTCTGATCGGTATATCGGTACGGGCACCGACGCCGGTATCGGTATGAATTGTAACGCCACCTGTATACCGGAATCAGTTCAGCTGTGACATATTTCTTCCGGTAAAATTTCATTCCAATTACTTAAACTTTGTCGGCTTATATAGACTTCTTAATTTAAAAGTCGAATTTTTGATAGGGGTTTGTGAGGTTTTCTAGAAGCATCTCTGAAAAACTAGGTACGCAAAGATAGAAGGTTTGATGGAATTTCGTTTTGAGGTATTCATTCGATAGCCCAAAGAGTTTTGTACATTTCTACGTGGCCACCGCATTGATTCACCATCCTCGATAACCACTGCCATTTATCCAGCACACAAAAGAACAGACAAATTTCATATGTACAGACTATCGTTCATTCAGTTTAATATTCACTCTGCAGTAGAACATGTATCTTTAAAATATATAAATTGCAATTCTATTAGATTAGGCAACGAATAAATTATACAAATACCAGAAATAACATAAATTACACAAATAACATAAAATCCTAAAATAACACAAATTACATAAATAAGATGAAAGCCTAAATTAACATAAAAACGTGAAATAGCTGAAATAACATTCTCACGTCAAACTTATAATAAATCCAGCAAAGGCTTTTCTAATTGCACAAAGCTACATCAATTTAAGCCTAGTCAAAAGCAAAAATCAACAAAAGAGAGAAAAGAAACTTTATGAAGTTGAAGATCGACAGAGGGATACAATCGTCGGTACATTTGAAGAGATCTATGCCGGCAAAACGTCGATTTCTGTCAGACAAATTTTCGAATGATGCAAAGGCAAAGCACAACAAGTGGTTGTTTTTGGACGAGCTGGAATTGGCTAAACAACAATGTGTCGTTATATAGTCAGGGTACTCAGACGAGGAATAGTTTATACACAGAAGGATGTAGGATCGAAAGTACTACAAAAGAAGTTTGAACAAATTTCAAACGTTTGTCCCGTCATGTATTGGACAAATACTTGACAGGCATCTCGATTTTTTTCCAATAGCGGCACAGAAAAATGATTATAGTTTCCTCTACAGACAGAGCTCAGGCATAGTTTTTCTTTTGTATACTTGTAATTTATTCTCGAAAGAAAAAGGCCAGCGAGCGAACTCATTATAAGCCGATAATAATTCAACTGTATTGGTAGAAAAACAAAATAAAAGTAAAAAAATAAGAAAAAGTAGAACATAAATCGAAAGAAGAAAGTTAAAACAATACAAAGAAAACAGGACTAAATCAAGAAGTTTATCTTTCACGATGTTCAGCTAAAATCGAAGCGAAAGCATTTGACAAGTCTCTTGTTAATGCATGATTATCAATTGTTGCCATATCTTGTGTAGTATTTGAACGTTGTACTGGTGCTTGTTGTTGTATATTAAATCTTGTTAGATCTACGAAGCGTTGAGCATGACTTTAGTCTTTACAATGTATATATTTTGTACTATACTACCAAATACAAGTGAATTTTCTTGTTTTTTTCTACCTGTTTCAAGAAAACTAATTTTCGCAACAACGGAACAATATTTTCCAAAATCGATACTAACTTTTTTCCCGCAAGTGTGATGACTTAAACAAAGAAAAAGAACCTGCCTAACTGCTAACGAAAACAACTAGATAGGCTTACAAAAAGTTCGGGTGGGGTTCCAGCCGTTGTGCCCGGTCTTCAGCGATTTCAGTCGGCCAATCAAGTTCTCAAAGTGTCTGAATTACTTTTTATATTCAATTTTGTATGTAAAATCAGAAAAAAATGATACCAAAATTTTAAAAAAAAGACAATAAACCCTGAAATTCTGCTTTTTTTTTTGAAAATTTGGCTGAATTTTGCCCATTTTTAAAAAATCAATATTTTTAAATTTTTTAAATGGAAAAAGACTTTCAAAGATCCACGTTTCAGTTTTTTCTAGATAACTTGATGAGCTCAACCTAATGATAAATCAAAAATAAATTTTAGTTATCTTTTGAATTGCCAGCACCGTATATAGTCGAATGTAGACTGAAAAATGTAGGACGAAAAACAACACGTCCAGTCTATACATGAGTGAAGTTCGCAAAAAGAAGCACTTCTTTTTGACACACTCACTTACACCTTTTTCCATTCTGACAGGAAAACGCATAATTTAGCTTTAGATTAAATTGAATTGTGCAACTGATAAAAGAAAACGACATTGTTGACAACTCACTTCACAAACTCACTTCACTATATTATTGGCCTATGGAATAGTGAAATTCATTCCCAAGAATCAGTCTTTTTTCGAAAACGATGTGCCTTGCAATTCTCTATAAAAAGTACATTGAACGTTTTGCTACAGAATGCAAAAGTGTATGCTGCACTCTGAAAAAATGACTGTTTCAGAAATGAAACCGTGTTTTTCCTTTGTCCTCAATAGGGATCTGATGTAAGTTTTCTAAAAATTGGCAAAGTTGATTTTTTCATTTTTCAGCAGAACAGAATTTTCAGCAGAAGAAAAACAGGATTTTATTATCTGAATTTTGATAAAAATTATTCAGTACCTTGATCAGATGATATCACAGTGGGCAACCACATGGAAATTAGGCGAAAAAACGAAAGTGAGATTTTTGGAAATTCAGATAATGTCACATAGACAGTATTCAATGGCCGATTTAGTGGTGAAAAAATTTTGATCCACATGCTT